TTGTTCATCACGGTAGCTACTAGGAAAGAATGAAAGCACTCATCACGCATGGAGTGAGGAGGGCACATGACCCACACTGCTCGCACAATGAACCTCTCCTCCACCTCAACCTACTCATCTCTGATAGTATTCAGTTTGCCACACAGGCAGACTTCCTGCTCTAGCAGAGCTTCTTCCTGTTAACTGCCTTCCTTACCTTTGAAATTCGTCATTACCCTTTACCTAGATACACAGTATACAAAGGGCCCATTTTACGGTATAAGACCACAGTAAAAGGCAAAAATGGGAGGAAAAAGTTGGATACAACTAATGTTTTGAAGAGATCAATGTGTTACATACTACAAAACCACCCTCTAAAAAAAAAGTTAACTGCAACAGAAATCTAAATTACACGAATAGATCTGACAATTGGAGCAAGCTGAAGCAAAACAAAAGCTTTCAGTAGATCAGGAAATGTTGAGATAAAAAGATGTTTTACATAAACTCTAAACTATGACAACACTGTCAAAACTCAAGCCATGTAACATCATGTTAAATGTGAAAGATCATCTGGATGGATAAAGAAAATGTGGCACATATACACAATGAGGTTTTATTCAGCCATAAAGAATGAAATTCATGGATGAAACTGAAAATCACCATGTTAAGCAAAACAAACCACATGCAGAGAGATAGTTATAACAATTTTTCTCACATGCAAAATCTAGAATTTAAAAAAGGATACATCGTATATATGATGTGAAAGCAGGAAGTGAGCTGTGTAGAGGAAGTGCCTTAGAAGGAGGGGAATATGGAAGGACAATGGGAGAAAAAAAGACTCATGTGCAACCTGGATTTAAAGTTATTTATTTGCTATGAAAGAACGGGACTACTGAGTAAAGGGAGGAGGAGAACCAGTGGAAGAGGGAAGGAATATGAGCAAAGTAAAGCTGAACACACACACGAAAATGCCATAAACCCATTATGGACACTTACTAAAAATTAATTTAAGAATTCATTTGGAACTAAATTTTAACATAACTAAAGGACTTTAAGAAACTAATCTGAAACCAAATTTCAGACCATTATCAATGGATTTCAGATGACTCATACTAAAAACAAAGTATCACAGTAACTAAAAATTGCCCTTTACTCTAGTTGTAAAGATGATTTTTTAAAATGTGTTTATGTGTTTGACTGCATGAGTTTATGTACACCACATGCATGCAGGAGCCCTTGGAGGCCAGAAGAGGGTATGAGATTTTCTAGAGCTAGAGTTACAGTTCATTGTGCGCCACCATTGGGTGCTGGGAACTGAGACCCAGTCCTCTGGAAGAGTAGTAAGCATTCTTAACCACTGAGTCATCTCTCTAGCTTCTACCCACTCTAGTTTTAATATATGAACTCTACCCTAAAATATTTAGTGTACTGGCTTAAAGTCTATTACTACTGTAAAATGATAAATACACATGTATCATATCTACAAAAGGATCTTTTATAGATATGAGAACATTCTTATAGTCTATATAAAGCATTTCAAACATGACAAGTAACAATCTATTACTTGAATTCAGGCTTTGAAGAGTTCAGTCTGCCACAACTACAGAGTTTAACATGCCACTAATAATCCAAAAAGAATCAGAAACTTATTGAATGGAAAACAAGTCTCTATTGTATTAGAGTTGTAGGAATGTAAAAAAGACAAATTTGGAAACAAAAAATGGAAAACCATACAAATGAGTTTCCTATGGATTACGATTTTCTTTATACCCATGTTGTCTGTATAATACTACAGCCACTATTTACATATTCTACTGAGCCATTCAAATGTGGGTCAAACAGAGATATGTCATTAAATATAAAATAAATATACAGTGATTTCAAACACTTACTAAAGGAAAATGTGAAATGGTTCATTGATAATTTTTAAATATTGGTTTACATGTTTAACATTTTTGATATTATGAATTAAACAAAAATCAGCATTAAAATTTGTTTTATCTGTTTCATTTTAAATTTTTGGTAACTGTAGTTATCAGAAGTTTTTAAATTTTATGTGTGGTTCTCATTTCTTTTAGACAGTACTATTTTATAATCTAAGATATATTTAAATTATGCTTATTAATAAGAAAAGAAATTAAAGCATAAAACCTCTGCTTTACAACAGCTATACTAAAGCAATTTCAATAATGAACTTCACTGGAAGAAGTATTAATTGTAACATTTGTAGACACTGTTGAGATTTTCTCTTACAGCTATACTTACTTGGTGCTCTTTCCACTACTTACAGAATAATTTCACCTTTAAAAAAAAGAAACTAGAGAGATGGCTCAATTAAGAACACTGACTGCTCTTGCAGAGGACCCAGATTCAATTCCCAGCACCCAGATGGTGGCTAACAACCATCTGTAACTCCAGTTCTGAAGGAATCCGACAACGCCCCCTTCTGACCGCCACAGGCATTGCACGATACATGTGCACTTGCATACATGCAGGCAGTACACTCATATGTATAAAATGAAAATAATAAAATATTTTTTCAATTCACATAAAATTATGCCTATGCACTGTGGTGACGTAGGATTAACTAACTCATCTAACTCTTAAGTCCACTCTTTAGTAAACGCTGGTGTAATGGAATGTTTGAGCATATATAGAAACTTACTATTAAAATATCCTGCTTGTCATTCTCATGCTGCTTAATTTATCAAAAATAAAAAACTCAATAGAGCAAGAAGCTCCCTCTAGCTATCTAAAGTAGGTATTTAATCTTAAATTAAGGAATCTATAACTATTCTCCAGTATGAATGCATTCTACTATTTTAAATTTTCTGACAAAAATTATACACAATAATTTGACAACTTTAGAAACAAGATGGTTCTGTGTGTATATAAAGATTCTTAACTGGAAAAAACAAAGTTCTCAGCCTGAGTTAACTCTAACACTTAATAAGCACATATTCAAAAGCATGATGAATTTGATTAAAAAGTACACATGTCAGAAAGAAAAAAAAAGAAAAATAATAATGAAAAAAACCATTTAAGGAAGGCAGTACTTTGAGGATAAGGATTAACCTGTTTTACATAAATTTGCTTAATATATTTAATGAATAACAGTGAAAAAATTTGGCCCAATGAACATAAAGTACACCTTTAAAAATTCTCAAAGTGAAAATCAAACTAGAAATGGAAAAGCTTAAATAATTTTACAAAACACATAGAACAAATAGCAATGAAGTGTTTTTCTTGAGAATTCTAAAATTCATTACATATGCATATATTGATATTAGGTCTTGTTCACGCTGCTCCCATATACTTGATTACCCAACCCTATTTTGTCAGTAACTATAAGGACTTTTTTCCTCCCCTTTCTGTGATGCTGGGGATAAAATCCAAGGCTTTGCACAAACTCTACTATGACACTATCCCTAGCTCACCAGTTCTTGACTTAAAACAAGTCACTTCTTAACTTTAAGAATCTGACTGCTTTCCAATAAGAAGATATCCCCTGATATATGGAAAAAAATTTCATAAGACATTCTAGTATTAACCTTGGTAACATCTATTAACTTCTGTATATAAAAATGAGATGACAGGCTCATAGGTCATTCATTGTACATAGAATACAATTTTATTCCTTTTGTACTCCAAGCATCTAGTGTAGCATCTGGCTCACAGATGCTACCCAGTGAATGTTAAAGGAAAGTAGGGAGGGGACAAAAGTGAACAGTGACCTTTAAGATAAAGAATTGTAAGAGTCAGTAATTGAAAAGTATTCCATGTAATAACAAGAAAGCCAATGCAGTGGCTATAGGTTTTTGTCAAGTGAGAACCCCTGTTAGGGTCCCAAACAGCAGCAGTTTCCCCCCTCCCCAACAGGGACCTCACCTTGACCTTTGGAGTCAAGGGAAACAAACTCTGCTGA